TCTTCCACTAAACTTACTAAAGTTAGCAATGACCTCTTGGTCATTACTTACAATGAACATTTCACAGACTTTTTTATTTGAGCTATTCAATTAAGAACAAAGCAATGTGGGTCACAATTTAGATATAAAGTGTTAATGTGATTTTTATCTTATCAGTATTTAGTGTATATTGATTTGAAATATCTCTGTCAACTCTTATGTATGCTTTTCAAAATAATTAATTTTATAAATGAAATTAAATGCTATTCAGAAAATTTTTTTTTGGTAGAATCAAATATGAATCGTCAGAGGGAGGCCTTAAACTGACTTGGAAAATCTACCTTTGTTTTCGGTTTTAGAAATGAATTAAGGGTGGCATGGAAACTAAATGTCAGACGTTAGTCATAAATAAGAAAAACAACTCAGTGTTTGAGAAAAAAATCAAGTGAGGGTGAGAGAACTGGAAAAGGTGAGTTTTGCAAAACAAAGGGTACAATGCCAAGCCCTCACTTGACTAATCATGAGTGAGTCAGGAAGATGGTAAGGAAAGGGGCACATGAAGAAACAGGAGGCTGTGGGAAACTGAGTGCCGCGAAGAGAACATGTGTGGACAAATTCTCTTCCCTCGTAATAAAGAGTTGGGAAAACCAAGACTCTGGTGGAGGATGGCCTTCACATTTGCGAGTTGGAGATTAACCCCAGTCACATTCCCCTAATTAAAAATCATTCCCCACTATTCCCCACAATTTCCGCCCAATAATAGTGCTACCATAATATTTCTTACAAGCACATGGCTGATTGCTGTGAGGCTGGAGGCCTTTATCCATCTATAGGAGCAGACTTGTTTCCATTGCTCTCCCCACTCAAGAAGTGGTCCACACCCCTCTGCCAGCCCCCACTTCTAGGATTAGGTTTCTCCCCCAATGAGCGCAGGGGTATTTAGGGTTAAGACACTGTCCACCTTGTTACCTATGTAGTTGACTTTGATTGATGGGCTTGCATGTCCTGAGACTATATAAGCTCATTGTTCAATACATTTGCTCTTTTTCTCTCTTGTTCTTGGCTGCATGAAGAGGTGAGCACCTTAAACCCCTGTCTCTATATTTTCTTTCAGTTGCACAATTGCTCCATAGACCCTCTCGGTTGTGAGGCTGGTCCTTACAGACCTCTTAAGAAACCGGATGGGGAACTGCTGCAAGAAATCCCTTGTAATTGTATCTGGGATTACAAGTGAAAATTTTAATTAATTTATGTTTGCCAAGTTGCTTCTATGTCTAAGTTAATACCAGTGGCAAAAGATAGCTTACTAAGGAAGTTTGGTGTGTTATCAAGCAAGATCAAGTCCTTAATTATATATTGGAGGGCTAAACAAATATCTGTGGCTTGGATACTAAACGGTTAAAATTCAGTTTATTTATGAGGAAAATCTTTTTTGACAGCAAAATTAATCCAATAACTGAAATGATATATGAATTCAATTAATGCAATGCTGGTTTTGACATTGTTTTATGTTATAAATTGACCCCAAATAGACTTTGAAGATAGTGCATAAAATATCACAAACTTAATTACAAAACATATGTTCAACACTGGACAGATACAACTGAGTGGATCATCAGAGCACAAGGAGATTTGTAAACAACTGGATTTACAAACAAGAGTAGGTCTGTCAATTCTTTTGTAAAATGACTATTGCTTTTATTTATTACATTTTAGACAGATACAAAATAGTGGAGCAGAAAAAAAATAATGAAAATAGAGCAAATTGGGATACATGACAAGTAGCATGTTTTCTAATCACATCTCTTTCTATACATATACCGCACAAAATCACAGATTACTGCCAAGAGACGTACTATACTAGGACCAGGATCAAAGAATGTGGCAAGTACTCTTTTGCTTAGCTAAAATAATCAAGATACAATCATGACCAGTGTAAGTGAAGCAAGGTGAATTATTCAATGATATTTTTCTGTTCTTTAGGGACAATACAGGATAAAGAATTTTTAATTTTTTCCAAATGAATAAAATAGGCGCTGTTGATTCCATTTCAACTCAAGGGTTTTCTATGCTGAATCTTTATGGGAGTGGGTCCTCCAGGCTTTCTCATGGGGGGTGGGGGGTGCTCTCACTGTCATCCACCCAATTCTGGGTGATAGTGAACTTTGGGTTAGCAAAGGAACACTTACTGCTGCACTGTCAGAGCTTCAAAACATGCTGAGCATGTTTGCTTTACCTCGTCTCTTTCAGAACTCCTTTCTTTTACAGTTCTAATTTTCCTCATTCGTTTTTTCTTTTTCTTTTAACAGTTTTATCGACATATGTCATGTATCACACAGTTCGGTGATTTTTCATACCATCACCTGTTAGTTTGTTGTACTGCGGTGGCTTGTTTAGTTGCTGTTGTGCTGGTAGCTGTTGTTGTTAGGTGCCATCAAGTTGCCTCTGACCCATAAACTCTATGCACAACAGAACAAAACACTGTCCAGTCCTGAACCATCCTCACAATTGTTCACCTGCTTGAACCCATTGTTGCAGCTCCTGTATCAATCCATCTCATTGAGGGCCTTCCTCTACGGTTTTTCTTTTTTCTCTGTAGTTGCCCCTCCACTTTACTGAACATGATGTTCTTCTCCAGAGACTGGACTCTCCTGACAATATGTGCAAAGTTTGCAAGACAAGGTCTCACCATCCTTGCTTCTAAGGAGCACTCTGGCAATTTGTCTTCCAAAACAGATCGGTTTGTTCTTTGAACAGTCTGTGGTATTTCAATGTTCTTCCCCAGCACCACAATTCAAATGCATCAATTCTTCTTCGATCTTCTTTATTTGATGTCCAACCATCATATGCATAAGAGGCGATTGAAAATATTATGGCTTGGGTCAGGCGCACCTTCGTCCTCAAAGTAACATCCTGGCTTTTCAATACTCTGAAGAGGTCTTGTGCAGCAGATTGACCTAATGCAATGCCTCTTTTGATCTCTCGACTGCTATTTCCATGAGCCCTGATAGTAGATCCAACCAAGACATAATCCTGGACAACTTGAACCTTTTTTCCATGTATAATGATGTTACCTGGTAGTCCAGTTGTGAGGATTTTGGTCTTCTTGACACTGAGTTGTAATCCATACTGAATGTTATAGCTCCTAATCGTCACTAGTTTGTGCTTCAAGTCCTCGCTTTCAGCAGGCATTGAAGATGTATAGCTCAAACTGTTAATAGCCCTTCCTCCGATCCTGATGCCATATTCTTCTTCATATAATCAGCTTTTTTTCTTATTTGCTCAGCACACAGGTTGAAAATGTGTGCTGGAAACTATGCCACAGGTATTTCAAATATTTGTAGTACTGACCATGATGAACAGGGTCAATGGACCTTCAAGGTTAAGTAAGACTGGGTAAAAGGCTTGCTAATATACTTGTAAAAATTATCCAGTGAAACCCTTATGGGTACTAAATATAACATGCTTTGATATCTTTGGTCTGAACACATCAGGAAGGATCAATTGTGAGATGAAGCCATCACATTTGGTGAAGTAGAGGGTGAAGAAGATGGATTTTGGTGAGATGGATTGGCACAATAGCTGCAGTGACAGACTGGACATGCCAGGATTTATGAAGGTGACATGGGACTGTGTGGTCTTTCCTTCAGTTGTAGACCTGGTCACCATAATTTGAGTTGATTTAATAGAAATCACCTATCTTTCCTCCTCATCCACCTCATCCTCTGTATCTACTATAATGATCGACCATTATTTATTTATATCAACTTTTCTGAGACTAAAGGAAAATATTTTTGTTCTTTTTAAAAAAAAAACAATCTCCATCCACTTAGTGAAATTATGTGTGATATATGAGTTATAGTTTTATCTATATCCCAAGTCTAATATTGTATTATGTTATTTACAATTTGATTAGCTGAGGTTTCTCTTTTTCAGGACTTTATTATTTTGGCTTCATTGAGGAGTTAATTTGCTAGGGTTATTCAGGAGAATAAGAACCCTGGTAATAGAGTGCATTAGAAGTTTGGTTGCTGAGCACAGGTCGCAGTTCAAATCCATGAGCTGCTAATAGGAGAAAAACTGAGGCTTTTTATTCCCATAATGATTAAAGCTTTCAGAAATACACACGGGCAATTCTACTCTATCTTCTAGGGTAATTATGAGCTGGAATTGATTCAATGGCTGTAAGTTCAAATTTGGACTCAGTGGAATATAAGAGTAGAGTTCAAACTTTCTTGGAAAAAAACTCCATTATCTTTCATTCCATTTTCCATAACCGTTTTGAAGGCCCCTCATAGTGACTCCATCCGAAGAAGAGTTTATTTCACTTGGAATATCTTTAAACTCAACATTATTACGTTTAAATTCGCAGTTTAACTATTTTTTGAAATAGTTTGAAATAAAAATTTCCCTATTTGAGGTGTTACGCATTATATGTTTTTGTAGATATCTCATCACATAATGTAAATATTGCAAATTAAGGACATAGGTTAAAAACTGACATGGATATACACTCACAATCAAGTTTTCTAAGATATATTGACTTCTTTTCAAATCATATAAACATATAGTAATAGTCATCCACACGTTTTTATTTATTTCTTCAGCAACTGAAAACAAGTTGCTGCATTCCTAAGTCCTACATATAACTATCTTTGATACTAAGATGAAGTTAAAAAACATCAACTTCAATAATTAGAAAGTGGAATTACTGCAGTCTATGTAATGTTAATCTGGTAGGAAAATACTCATTTGAACATAATTTGCTTCAAAAAGTATCTCTCTCACTTGTATCCTATGGGCATACATCAAGGTAACAAGTGCTGGGAACTCTGTAGATGGAACCTGGTGAGGAGAATGACAGTGATGTCATAGACTCCTGTGGGAAACTTCTACAAGTGATAGTTAGTCATCACGGAGACAACCAGAAACATGCAGACTGAGTAAGGTGGGATCCAACGAGTGTAGTACAGAATGCAATAGTTTATGTATTTCTCGTCTTTCTGCGGAAGTGTAACACAACACCACTTAATGAAGAAATGCAAAGGCTTAACCATCTGGCACTTTCATGATCTTGATGATTAGTAACTTGAAGAGTCACAAAACTGAAATTCACCATTAAATAATATGGAAGAAAGTGATGAACATGATCAGCCTATCTCATCAGGGAGGCAAGAAATTCGAAAGAGAAGACAGCCTAGCCAACCGATGGTCGACAAGTCCCAACAGACTGAAATGACAGAGAAAAAGAAATACACAGCCACACCGCAATCATCTGGTCCCAAAGCTACCCATAGGATTGGTAGTATTCCCGGAAATAAAGTAAACTATTCTGCCAAAGAATATGAGTCCTGTAGAGTATCTTCTCAACTTCAGCAAACTTGGACAAAAAGAAAACGTGGGCAGGAAATGATGGATAAATATCTTCAGACAGATGCCATTGTAGAAGAGAACAAAGAAGTGAAATCTGTTGGTGAAACAGGGGTTCCTGAAGAAAAGCCAGCTAATGTTGGAGAAACAGCCCCTGAGTTGCTAGAAAGAGCTCGTGAAATTGAAATGTCACCACGAAAACAATCAGTTCAACTAAAAATAGACAGATCGCAGCAGACAAGTTGTACTGGGGACTGGACCACGATGAACACTCCGCAAATAGAAATGGTGGACAAGGAACAGCAGACATACTTTAGTGAATCAGACATGGTATTTGGTTACAAGTCTGGTGGTTCTTTTACAAAGTCAAAGGAAGGTGCCCAGAAACGTAAGTCCTCAGGGAAGATTTTTGGTAGTGACCATCCTGAATTTCAAGCAGGAACAAGTAGCAAAGAGGAAATCATGCAGAAAACTTTCCGCAAAGCTTCAATTAGTGAACAAACTCCAGTATTCATTTCAGAACATGAACCTAGGAGTGAGGCTCTGCTAACTGTTTTAGAAAATGGTCCTTTTGTTAAGGAAGAGGAATCTGTTGAAACAAATCTTCCCTCAGATATCAAAGTCTTGGCTGAAGTACAGCCCTTGGATGCAGAAGAAACCCCTGCTGAAGCCCCGTCACCAACAACTGAAGAAACTTCTGTTGAAATACAGCCCACAGCTATTGAGGAAGTCCCTGTTGAAGTACCGTCTCAAGTAGCTGAAAAGACTCCTACAGACGAGGCCCCAGCCGAACCTCCTTCACCATCAGCTGATGAAGCCACTGTAGAAATACAACCTCCACTGGCTGAAGTGGTGACTTCAGAAGCGGCTGCTGTGAAACTAGAACCCGTCCCTGTGAAAGAGACCTCTGTTGAACCCCAGACTTCACCAGTCGAGGAAGTTAAGGCAGATGAAACTCCTGCTAAAGTACGATCTTCCACAGCTGAAGGAAGTCTTGATGAAGAGATTACCCTTACTGAAGAGGCCCCTATGGAAGAACTGTCTCCACCACGTAAGGATGCTTCTGAAGCAGAGGCTGCTGCTCCAGAACAGCCTATCTCTGCCGAAGAGACTCTTGTTGAACATCAGCTTTTACACAGTGAAGAGGCCCCTGGTGAGGAACAGTCTCCTGAAGAGTCAACTGAAGAGGCCCCCGAAGAAGAGGCATCTTCTAAAGTTCAGGCTCCAGCAGACAAAAGGACTCCTTCAGAAGAGACTGCTGCTGAGCTTCACCCTCTACTAGATGAAGGATCTCCTACAGAAGAGACCCCTGCTGAAGCTCAATCTCCACCACCTGAGGCTCAAATAGATGAACCCCCTGCTGAAATTCAATCTCCACTAGCAGAGGAGGCGCCAGCACAAGAACTCCCTGCTGAAGTTCAATCTCCACCACCTGAGGTCCATAAAGAACTTCCTGCTGAAGTTCAAACTCCATTATCTGAGGTCCATATAGAAGAACGCCTTGCTGAAATTCAATTTCCACTAGTGGAGGAAGCCCCCACACAAGAACTCCATGCTGAAGTTCAATCTCCACCACCTGAGGCTCATATAGAAGAACTCCCTGCTGAAGTTCAATCTCCACTAGCTGAGGTTCATGTAGAAGAACTCCCTGCTGAAGTTCAATCTCCACTAGCTGAGGTCCATGTAGAAGAACCCCTCGCTGAAACTCAATCTCCACTAGCAGAGGAGGCTCTCGCACAAGAATTCCCTGCTGAAGTTCCATCTCCACCATCTGAAGTCCCTATAGATGAACCCCCTGCTGAAATTCAATCTCCACTAGAGGAGAAAGCTCCAGCACAAGAACTCCCTGCTGAAGTTCAATCTCCATCATCTGAGGTCCATATAGAAGAACTCCCTGCTGAAGTTAAATCTTCACCAGCTGAAGAGATCCTTAAAGAAGATGTCCCTGCTGCAGGTCAGCTACCATCAACTGAAGAGATTTTAGCAGCGGAGGCCCCTGAAAAAGTTGAGTTTACCCAGACTGAAGAAGGTCCAGTAGCTGCAGAAACTCCTGCAGAAGAGGCTCCTGCTGAAACCCAGCATCTACCAGCAGAGGAAGGCCTTGACAAAGAAGTTCCTGAAGAACTCCCTGCTGGAGTTCAGCATTCATCAGGTGTGGAGGTGAGTTCGGTTCCTGGTGAGCCTCAGCCTTTACTAGCTAAGGGGGTCCCTGAAGAAGAGGCTCCTGCTGAGCCTCAGTCTCCATCAGCTGAGGAAGCCCCAATAAAAGAGGTCCCTTCTGAAGTCCAGCCTCTACCAGCTGAAGAAATATTTGCAGAAGAGGCCCCTGCTGAAACTCAACCTCCATTAGGTGAGGAACCTCCAGTAAAAGAGTCCTCTCATGAAGTTGAGTTTTTACCTGCTGTAGAAAATTCTAGAGAAGAGATCTCTGATGAAATACAGCCTCCCTCAGCTCAGGTAGCTGACACTGCCAAAGCCCAGTCTCCACCAGCTGAGAAGGCACCTGAGGATGAGGCTACTGAACTTCAGTCTCCACCAGCTGAGAAAGCTTCGATAGATCAAGTCCCTGCTGAAGTTCTGCTTCTCCCAGCTGAGAAGGCTCCTGAGGATGAGGCTACTGAACTTCAGTCTCCACCAGCT